AATGCAGGTGATTCTAGGCCACGATACAGAAATGCTTGTCCAGGGGAACTAGAATGGCTTGGAGATGTGCCAGAAATAATGCTTTATGGTTCTGCTCCAAACATCTGTTCTTACCACTAATAATAGGCTGAAACTTGTTTTTTTTTTTTTTGAGATCTTTTTAGAAATGCAGTTTATGGTGACATTTCAAGCAAAACTGAGGTCATCAAATTCTAAGCTGAGAACAGTCTAACTTAAACATGGCTTAAGTCTAAGCAGGGTTTGGGCTTTGGAACCCGTGTTTTTCTCCTGCCCTCTGCCCAGGATGGGGAAGACGTCTGACGCAGTGTGCCTTGCAGAAGCGTAATATGAAAATGCATCTCATTATGTGATTATCATGTCAGAGCTGAGGCCTACATGGTATAGCTTCACACTTTGGAATTTGTAAAAGATTTTTACACTATGGAATAACTAGCTTTTATAAAGTAGGAGGGTATATGCATCTTGAAACCTCTCTTTTCTTGGCTTAATATTTTAATTTGTACAATTTCTTACAGTTGTGCAGCTAATGGCTGTGATCAAAGATTCAACACAAAATCAAACTTAAAGAAACATTTTGAACGCAAACATGAAAATCAGAAAAAACAATATGTAGTAAGTATGAATGATTTTATGTTCTCTGAATATTTTTATGCCTGTTGCCTATGTCTTTTAAATTTTCATCAATCAAATTTTGTCTGTCAAATATCTAAATTTAGTCTGACACCAGCAATTATAATACTTTATTTTTGCAAGCAAATATTTTAGTGCTAACTGAAGTATAATACTGGTAGAGTACTCCAGATGAAACATCTTTGCTCTTTGAAAGGTGTTACTCTTCAAAACTTGACACAGAATTTTATAGTAACTAAATGGATGAAAGAGTGAGTGTAAAATCTCTGCAGTATTTTTATTTTAAGGGGATTGTTATGAACTGTTCTTTGATTTTTCTCAGACTAACAAACCTTTACTAAACAGTGCAGTTTTGAAGGTTGTACAGAGACCTTTAAGAAACATCAGCAGCTGAAAATCCATCAGTGCCAGCATACCAATGAGCCACTCTTCAAGTAGGTACCTTACCTGGGTGGAAATCTGTTAAACTGCAGGTGGGAATAGATTGAAATGCAAAGGTCAGATGCAAAATGTTCTGAAACAGCTTTGTAATATTTTCCTGTTAACTGTACAGTGGATGCCCTTGTATATATTGGGGCAGTTCAGAAGTATAATTTCACTTTTGTTTCTCTAAAAGAAACATTTAATGTGTTTCAAAATAATTTGTAAGACAAATACAGCTGTGGTTAAGCTTTGAAGGGGAGGCTAAGAACTGACCTAACTAGTCCTGTAGAGCCTGTTCACTTATATGAAACGTCACCGTGGCTGCACCAAGTATTCCTTTCCTGTCGGGTAAAGGTGATGGCTTCACCTGCTTCCGAGAGGGTTTCATGAGGAATGTGAAAGGGGGACTGTACCTGTGGCAGACTTGCCCAGGGGTCCGGAGTCTGGCTGTCTAGACGAGAGCCCGCCGTAGTGCCTGCCCAGCCTCTCTCACTGGGGCGGGCGCATCTGCCACCCTGCGTTCTTTCCGCACTGTCCCAGGGCAGCAGCAGTAGAAAAGCTAGGCACCTAAGTGTCTACCTAAGGCATCTTTTGTAGCTGTGAAAACAGCCTATTTTCAGAACTACAAAACAAAAACTGGTTTGATCACTAAGCTGAAAAAAGCAATGGTTTTTTTCTGTTTTTCTGCAAGGCCAATCATGTAACTTGATTTCACCTATGATTGGGTCTACTGATTAAATCTCATCTTTATGATTGGTTTGGTTGTGGGAAGAGGAGACCTTGATTGGAGGAAAGGACAGAGTAATGTTTCCCCGACGTGGGGTTCTCTGGGAAACGGATTGGCCCCGACTCTGTGTGTTGTTGACCAGGTGTACCCGTGAAGGATGTGGGAAGCACTTCGCCTCTCCCGGCGGGCTGAAGCGGCACGGCAAGGTCCACGAGGGTATGTGCCACCCTCTGTGCTCCGCACTTAGAGTTGATACGCCAGCAAGAGGGTGTATTTGTTTACTTCTTTGACTAAGGGCTTTCCGGCTGTTCCACGGTCAGACAACACAGGCAGAGACACTGTTCCGCTTAGTCAGGTTTTATATTCTTGACAGTCAGCACTCTGTATCCTGTTCTCCCACTACTCGTCACTGTTTTTCAAATTGTTTTTGTTTACAAGTGCCTGGTTATGCTTTATACTTAGAAAGTTAGCACTCAGCAGTTTTGCCTTTTTTCAGTTGTTTTTGACCTCTTGTCTTTACACCCTGTACTATTCTTTTCCCTGTAGCCATGTAAAGGGCTAAGTAATAGTTTGAGGTTATTGAAGTAATCAGATCATAACTTTTTTCAAAAAGACTTAAACTACTTAAACCTATTATCTGTTTCCATGAGAGATTTTTGACATCGATATTGCTATTTCCCAAGCCCTAGAATTTTTTTTTTAAACAAGACACTAGTAGCTGGGATTGGGAGGCAGCCTCTCTCCTTTTAGGTCCTACCTAGTACTTAGTGGGCTGAAACTCGGGCTGGCAGCTGCACCGACTGATTAGCCCAAGCCCCATGCTTTGCCCAGTGTCCCCGCTTGGTCAGTGTTCCCGGGGCCCCCCAGTCCCCCTTCTGCCTGCCTCCTGTTTGCGGTATAAAACTTCCAAGGTGGTAAGACCCGAGGAACCCAGGGGATAGGCACATGGCTGCTGAGTTCAGTGTCGGCGGCTTGCTGAGGACAAGGGACCATGTACCTCTCTTGCTGAGGGGGAAAGAGGCGAGCGTGGCACCGGGAGGGGAAGGAGCCCTGAGCCTTGGGGGCAGGGGATTTGAGCAGCTGGGAGTCCGCGTGCGGTGGGCCCAGCTTACCGGAGCAGCAGTGGGGGTGAGGCCCTTCTTTCTGTGTGGTCCGCTAAGGCAGCATCCCGGGGGAAGAACCGTGCTATGCGGCTGTTTGGCTTTACTATATAATAAACTTCCCTTAGTTTTTATTCCCACCTCTTGAGACCAACAGAATGGACTTAGGGGAAGTAGGAGAACAATTATATAGGCGTGCAAGTTCCCTAATTACAATTCATGCTTACACTGAATAGTCACAAAAGGCAATTCACCTGTCTTTTTCTTTTTTTTTTTCCTTAATAGGCTATGTGTGTCAGAAAGAATGTTCCTTTGTGGCAAAAACATGGACAGAGCTTCTGAAACATGTGAGAGAAACCCATAAAGGTAAGGCAGACGCGAATGGCACGGTCTGAATATTCGCCCCGTAGAACTGGTTTAGTGCTTTTCAAGAGTGAAATGGTAAATATGCTCCTTAAATAACAGAATTTCTGTATGGTGTTCTGCGGTGTGCTGGGGGCCTCAGCTCATGACAGATGAGCAGACAGGCGTCTGTGGTCCCAGCTTCGGGAAGAGCTATGCCGCTCTCTGTAAGGGCTCCGGCCAGTGAAGCCCCTGGGGAGGCACTGGTGCTGTGTGGACAGTTTGGGAAATGGGGACCTGTGTGTGGGAGGACAACGAGGGAAACGGTTTGTTTAGTTTTCTCCCCTTGCCCACAGCCAGCACGCCGAGAAGCCCTGCTCCTTGGCAAAGGAATGTGACTCTTTCTAAGGACTTGGGAGAATTGAGACAAACTTTCAAGCAATAAAAACTCGAGTTCATTTTCTCTGAAATTTCTGATTTATGAGAGTCCTAAGATTTTGGCATAGAATACATTACTTATATATTTAGTTTTTTTTTTCTATATGGTAATACCTGGGGAAATTGGATAAATTTATCTACCCTTTCCAGAGGAAATAATTTGTGAAGTATGCCGGAAAACATTTAAACGCAAAGATTATCTAAAGCAACACATGAAAAGTCATGCCCCAGAAAGGGATGTGTGCCGCTGCCCGCGGGAGGGCTGCGGTAGAGCCTACACCAGCGTGTTCAACCTCCAGAGCCACATTCTCTCCTTCCACGAGGAGCGGCGCCCATTCACGTGTGAGCACGCTGGCTGCGGCAAGGCATTCGCAATGAAAGTGAGTACCCACCCTCACGCAGCGTCCTTCAGGAGCCCTGGGTTCCGAGGCGGTTCCCAGGGCCTGCGGGTGGCGGAGGCTGGCGAGCAGGGCTCGACCTTCCACCCCTGCCTCCGCAGGAGCAGTTCTTACCCAAAGTCTGTCAGGCACCAGATTTGCCTGGGCCAGTGGTTCTGAGTGTGGCCCCTGCCCAGGAACTTGCCAGAAGTGCATGTGCGTGGGCTCCACCCCAGGCCCAGGGAGACGAAAACCCTGGGGGGCGGCCCAGTCGTCTGTGTTAAACCCTCAGGGTGTTTCTCGTGTGGACTGAGTTTGAGAGCCAGTGGCCTGTGGTATCCCAGGCTTATTCTATCGGAGTACACTGTGTCCTTTCGGACACGTCCCGGGCCGTCCTGTTAGACTGCTGTCCTCTAGGGGTTGAGAAGGGCGACGGGCCATGGGGACACGAGGAGCCCCAGCACTGCGGGAACCTAGTCTGACCTTGGTGAGATTCGGGTGGTGAGAACGTGACGCTCGGTGGAGGGCCCGAGCGGCTCTGCAGACCTGCCCCGGTTGGTGCTCTTGGGACTGACCATGAATCCCAGTAAAGACCAAAGGGGGGCACAAGACTGGCCCGGCACAGGTCCGAACCATCAGAAATCAGCTTGGAGCCGACGTGGTCAAGGACAGCAAGACTTCGATCGGATTTCCCGCTGGAGTTTGGGAGTGCTGTCCACGCAGACTCGGGGGACCCCCTCTCAGCGTGGCAGTGTTTACACGGAGCTGGGCCCCCACCCTCGCTCTTGCCTGGGAGAGAACTGAGGCGCCACAGGCCGTTGAGACTTGCCAGTTTTCCTCACCCGAGGGAGGCAGTGATTCGAGTCCAGGGTTTGAGGAGAAATTCTGCTTCAGTGGGGAATCTTTTTTTATGTCCGATCCCTCAACCAAACATGACAGAAAGAAGGCTGACAGTTTATTTAAAGGACTCGTGGATTTTACACATTAATAGACACCAAATGGCAATGTTTATAAAATATAACTTTTTTCTTTTTCTTTCATTGTAGCAAAGTCTCACTAGGCATGCTGTTGTTCATGATCCTGACAAGAAGAAAATGAAGCTCAAAGTAAGTGGAGATGACTTAGACAAACTAAATTTTAAAGCACAAAGTCTCTTCACAGTATTTTCAGCTACCTGCTGCTGTGAATCTGCACCATGTCTGGGAGCAGCTGCACGGACTGCGTTTATAAAGGAGGGCTGGGTACCTGTCGGGTGTGCATCTGCTGTAAGTTAGTTCACGTCATTTTGACTCTGAATTCTAATAATCTGTCTTCCTATCCCCAAAGGTAAAACCATCTCGTGAAAAACGGAGTTTGGCCTCCCGTCTCAGTGGATATATCCCTCCTAAAAGGAAACAAGAACAAGGCTTATCGTTGCCTAAAAATGGAGAGTCACTGAACTGTACTGAAGACAAGGTGCTCTCGACAGTTGCAATACTTACCCTCAGCTAATGTCAGATGGCTTTTTTTCAAGGACTACAGACTGGCCACCTCAGTTACTGTCTCTCTGAAGCACATTTTTATTAAAATCACTAATGCAGAACATCTGATCCTCTGTCATTTCCATTTTCTTTGTTCAGAGTGTCTCCTTTCTGGGTACCTTCAGTTTCTCTGTAAGCATTCTCTTCCTTTTCGCTTAAAGGACGAAGAATACACATTACAGCTTTTCCTCCTTTAGCAGGTTGTGGCTTGGATGAGAAGGTAGCTATTCCAGGCATAGTCTGGAGTATGTGATTAAATATCCCCTCCTAAAAGGAAAAAAGCCGACGATTAATTTAAAACCAGTGTCTTTGATTCTTTCTAGTGTTTATGCTTTAATACCCATAAACACCAGCCTTTCTGAGTTCCTATCTAAGAGACTAGCTAAATCAATTGTACATATCTGGTTAGGCTGACTGAAACCTGTACAATAACCAGGCAGTTAAACTAATGCACTAAAATGGTCTTAAAATCCTTACTCTGTCAGGGCACTGAAAGGCTGTGTCTGGGCCCAGACCACCCTCTCACGAAGAGTAGTAGGTTTGGGCGCTGGCAGAGTACCTCTTTATGCCCCATCTGCTGCCAGCCCATCTCCCAACACTAAAACAAAATTGCTTGGGGTAATTAGAAATAGACACCTGGTTCTAGACTCTGGACTAATTGTGCTGCGATCTAGGCCTGAGTGGGACAAGGGTTCAAAACCACAGGACTACGCTACCTTTTAATTGCAGATATATTATCTCACTCTGTACGCAAAACAGATATTCCTTAAGTATCCTGGGATTGAAAACGGACACTTTTTTCTAAAAGACAATTTGGCTTTATAAATGCCTACTAGAAGCCTTATATATAAAGAGGAAACAAACTTCAAAAATGAATATAAAGTTCCTAGTTCTTCTATTTAAATGTTAGATATTCTACAATTTGTGAAATAGCATAGTTTATAGCCCTTAAGTTGTGAGGTGGAATATTTTCACATGGCAAAATATTTATGCTACAAAGGAAAATAATGCATACACACATGTTGGCATTGTGAAAAACAGATTGGAAAGCTCCCAGGACTGGGTACAATTACCAATTATTTTCATTTTCTAGATTTCCTACAAATTGTTCTTCTAAATCAGAAAACAACACAAGCAGTTATTCATATCTACTTTCACTTACAATTTTATTTTCCGGCTCTTGATCATTCTTGCTTTTCTTTATAGTAATTTGAACTTTGTATTTTTTCTCAATCCACTGCTGAATCTGTTTCCTCTTTGTGTCCAAATCATGTTGTGCAATACTTGAAGAAAAAGTTAGTTCCTTTGTCGGGGTTGGTCCTAGTTTGAAACATCAAGACTTGGTGTTAGAACTATTTGCTCATCCATCTGTGAGACCTGAATTTTGTCATGAACACATCATAAACTCTTAGGGTACCACAGGGGCCCTAACAGTTCCTCTCATCTGCATTTAGTTTCACAGACCAGTGAATACTTTTTTAAACAGAGGAGATGATAGACCTACTAAAGATACCAATTTTTTACTTGCCAAGTAAGACTCTTCAAATACGAAATACTTCCATTTATCATTACCGTCATTTGATGAAAGGACAAAAGAATGGGCCTTCAAAAGGACGAGTTTAGCTTACAATATACTTAATTGTTATTTTCTCTTCCAATGTGGGTCAGCATCTGGGATGTACTCTGATCATCTGTCTCCTTGGGGATGCCCACCCAATTACAAGGGGGTCACCCGGGCTGCATCAGATGGGGCTACTGGACATGGAGATCCTGACCATTAGAAAGGATTTCACTGGAAAGGGACAGAACCCTTACTAAAAGCATCGAGAGAAATCAGTTTCACAAGAGGTTAAGGGAAGTTTCAACCCATATGAAAACCTCCCCAAATGAACCGAATAAATGAAAAAAAATAAACAACTTTAAAACCAATAGAAGAAAAGGATATGTTTGTAACCTCATGACAGGAGAATTTTGTTGAGAAAAACGGTAATTTCCTGTATCAAAGACACTTGAGTAATAAAACAAGGGCAAAAACAGAAGTTTACCTAGGATAAGGTTTTCGCATCATACAGGACAGAACCCTATAAATCGGGACAAAAAATAAACCATTGAGGTAGGAAAAAAGGGAAGATGAATAGGCAATTCACAGAAGAAACCCAAATGGTAATTTCTGTTACCCATCAGCATGACAAAAGTTAGTCTGACAGCACCAAGTATGGGTGAGGGTGCAGGGAAAGAAGTCTCATAAGCTGCTGATGCCCCATAGAACGGGGGTGTGCACGGGCAGACGTGACAGCTATGCTCACTGTTGGTAATAAAGAAAAACTGGAAACAAGCCCAATCTCCATGGGAATGGGCTAACAAAGCTATGGTATATTATGTCATTTAGTAATTGTAACAAATTAGCTAAACAGCTATTATATCTGCATAGCTCTGCAAAGCAGTAGTGTGCCATTTATAATTTTTAGGCATACAAAATCATCCTATATACTGTTCATGAATACATGTGTATGTACTTGAACTTTACTGACATGGACTGGGTCTACACCCTGAGGCCACAAGAGAGAAAATGGAACAGGAAAGGTAGAGGACTTCAACTTTTCTATAATGCTTTATTTTATTTAAAAAACCTGAAGTATGACAACGTTAATGCTTGTTCATTTTGGGTAGTGGATAAATGGGTGTTTATATTATATTTTACTATACGCTCTTTAATTTTCAAAATGAAATCCTTTTTCTAAGAGAGTTCTTTTATTAACACCGCGTTTCCTCAGAGCTCCCACCAGTGGCCTTGGTTCTTTCTCTATCAACAAAACAATGCCTGTAACACATGAGCCCTTCCACCCTCTCTCAACTCAGCAACGTCTTCCAAGCTTCTCCAGGCCGTTCATCTTTTTCCCTCTGACACAGTCCGATGACCTTATCCCCCTAGGTGGCCTCTGCCGACTACTGTGCTTTCCAGCCACCATCGTCACCGTGGCGGCCCTGGAACCAGTCTCTGACCCCCTTCCGGGGCATTTCCCGTAAAGCAGTCTTCCATGATCAGAACTTAATTAGGAATCAGGAAAACAAATCATCTTCACTTAACATGCAATTCATGGGCTCTACATGGCTTCAATGACAGGCACATTGTAAGGTGGTCAGCAGTACACGTAGATGGTGTTACCGCCAATACCGTGACAGTGCCTGGGCTGGGGAGAAGCTCTGCGAGGCACTTCCCAGTTCAGGAAGCGCCTCCAGGTAATCGGCCAGTGGCCCCACCTCAGAGATGGGGAGAGGACGGCTGAGTGGGCCAGCGGGACGCCGCAGGGGCCCAAGCCCACCTCTGGAGCCTCGTTTGATCATAGCCCTCAGTTACCTGCCTGCCCGGCGTCAGGCAACAAAGCCCAGGTGAAGGGGGAAGGAGCTCCCATCATTTTGGGGGTCTTCACCTTGCTGTGCCCTCATCTTACACAGGTCTAAGAAAGGGACGGTGGCTACAGGGTGGTCAAGGAAATAAAGGAGAGATGAAGACATTGGAAATGGACCTCGGGGAGCGGAGAGCTCGCACCCACCAGGCTGCGGCGCCGCCCGGGCCTCGCTGCGCAGCTGCAGCCGCTCCGCGTGGATCTGCGCGCCCGTCAGGAGCTGGTACTCGGGCGGCTGCGCGTCGCTGCACCGCTTCACCAGCCTCAGGTCGCGCTCGTCCATGAGCCGGATCACCGCTGCCCGGTGCATGTTCCCCAGATCGTTGCCCTTCTCATCAAGGACATGAATAATCCGGTCGTGGATTTTCCTCCCGATGTTACTAAGATCTGTTCCATTCATTCTCTTGGGCATCTTTTCGTCCTGGGTGTCCCCGTCGGTACTGAAAGCGTGCGTGTGCGTTAGGTGGGGCGGCCCGGGCGCAGGAGCGAAGAGGCGCAGCTGTGCGGGCGTCCTCTTCTGCACCACGTACTTGCCAAGCCAGCTCCTGATGCAGCCATTGCTAGTCTTTAGGGTTTGTAATGTTAACCTCTTGAGAAAGAGGGCAGCCATCCTAATAGCAGGAAGAGAAGTTCATTACAGTTCAGTCATTCTGTGGTTATGATAGTGCGGGATGTGGAGGGCATGTGTGACGCTGGGCACACTCACCCCTTCGAATGTCACGGATCCGTGTACAGGACCAATGACATAGTCTGTCACGTGCCCACGGCCACACTGACTCATGGTGGCAGTGTCCCCAGTTCAAGTCTGTTAAAATATGCCGTGTTTGCACAGTGCTTTCCTTTTTCTTCACCAAGTATCTGATTTGATTCTGTTTCCCATGGGTCCCACTTATCAGCAAGCATATAAAACCCTGGGTGACTCATAACCAGCAATTCATAAACTTTTACTATAATTAACTGCTAACAATTTGTTAATATATCTGACGTACACGAAAGATCAGAGCACTTCTATGGGAAAGGGGCGGCTCGTGAAGGAAGCTGGCCAATGGGAAGGCTGGCGGAGACTCTGGGAAAGGAAAGCGCCGGGAGCCAGAGCGCTGGCCTCCCGGAGCAGAGGGCACTCGCAAGGGAGGCAGGGCTTCACGACCACATGGCAACTAAGCGTTAGGGGTGTGGTGGCACTGGTTTTACTTCATGGTTATAACCGCTGCAGTGACAACTGGTGTCTGGATTTGTTACTGCTTCTCTGCCACAGTAAGTGTCTCTCTTATGTTCACACGTTAGGTAAAGCCTAGAAGTGCAGCTAAAGCAGTGATGTTGGGGGGCAGCCACCTCCTCTAGGGTTTGCTGAGAAACACTACAGAATTGAGAACCAGAGAGGTGTGCCTTGTCAAAGGACAAGGTGCTCCTCAAAGAACGGCCCCCAAGTCACCTGCCTGAGAAATCAGCTGGGGTGTTTGGTAAAACCGGAAAAGCCCTCGGGTCCCTAGCTTCAACCCCACTGGCTGTACAAGCCCATGGATCCTACCTGGCACCACCCCAGTGCCCTCGTGACGAGTGACATGGAAAAGAAAAGCATAGTAAACTGAACAGACAGTGATGGATGCACACATTCTTCCCTCCCTCACCTGGCTTGGTAAGTCCCGCACTCACTGCTCTGGCCCCACCTCTCCCCTGAGCTTCAGGCCTGCAGAGTTAGTGGCCTATCCAACATCTCCATTTGCATATCTAAGTCACTAATGTTAACATGTCCAAAACTGAATGCACCACCTTCCACCTCCACGCACCCCTCCCTCAGACTCCCCCATCTCCTTCCCATTGCTCGGGCCAAAGACAGCTGTCATCCTGGACTCCTCTGTTTCTCTTAGCAGATCCTATCGCTCAACGTTCAAACATCCACCATCTAACCAGTTCTCACCTCTGCTGCTTTCATCCTGCCTCAAAGATGCCATCACCTCTCACCTGGTTATAGAAACAGCCTCCTGAATGCTCTCCGTTTTGACCCTTGCTCCCTATAACTTACTACCCACATGGCACATAGAGGGACCATTTTAAAGTGTGTAAGTCATTTCATGTCCTTCCTCCGCTCACAAGCCTCTGCTGGCCCCCGTCTCACTTGGGGTAAAAGCCAAGCCCGTGTATGAGCTGACAGTGCCCTCCGTGACCGGCCCCCACCTACTCCTGCCTACAGTACCTACCTGGCTTCCTCTGGCTCACTCTGTTCCAGCCTGGCTGGCCTTGCCACGCCTTGCAAATGAGCTCCCTGAACACATCCCTGCAATTGGAAACTCCCTTCCCTCAGACAGCTGCATGGTTTATTTACTGCAGGTCTCAAGCACTCCCTCCCGGCGAGGTCTTTCCTCTGCACTCCTGTGACACAGCACACCCCATCACTTTCTAACCCAGGACCTTGCCTTTTAAAAAAATCCACTGCCTGACACATTATATATTTGCATATGTGTTTGTGATCTTTCCTAGTCATTCTAAAAGGTAAGGATTCATACCTTTTACATAACCACCATGATATTATCCCAACTAATAATTATTCCTTTATGTCAACAAACATCCAGTTTTCCTATTTTCCTGATAGTATTACAATTCATTTATTTGCATTTCATTTATAGTTTGGTAGCATGAAGGTACTTCCACTAGCAAATATGTGATAATTTAAACATTAAGGAATAATGACTGAAATTCATCTCAACACACTGAATACTCAAAAATCTATTAAAAATAAGGATGATTTGCCACAACTGTATGTGATATGTGACTATTACTCTGACTCCTTACTGTGAAAATCAGAAATGAAACAAAAAAGAACAAAGTATTTATATTACCTTTTTAGAATAACTATAATTATCCCCAGTTGATGAAGAAAAGTTCCTCTCTGGAGGAGAATGCCAGCCAATAATGGAGAAAAAAAAGCAAAGGAAATTGAAAAATCACCATTGACAGCTTTTCCTCAAAGATCAGGGAAAAGAATGTCCATACTTGTCAGTTTTATGAACATGGTATTGAAAGTCCTAGCCATAGCCATCAGACAAGAAAAAGAAATAAAAGGAATCAAAATTGGAAAAGAATAAGTAAAACTGTCACTATTTGCACATGACATGATACTATATATAGAAAACCTTGAAGTTTCCACTATTAGAATAAATGTTCAGTAAAGTTGCAGGATACAACATTAATATACATAAATCTGTTGCATTTCTGTACACAACAATAACTTATCAGAAAGAGAAATTACAAAAATCCTATTTATAATTACACCAAAAAGAATTAAATACCTAGGAATAAATTTAACCACAGAGGTGAAAGACCTATACTCTGAAAACTAAAAGACAATGATGATAGAAATTGAAGACAAAGCAAATAAACGGAAAGATACTATGCTCATGGATTGGAAGAACTGATATTATTAAAATGTCCATACTACTCAAAGAAATTTACAGATTCAATGTAGTCCCTATCAAATTTCCAATGACATTTTTCACAGAACTAGAGTAAATAATCCTAAAATTTGTATGGAACCACAAAAGACCCCAAATAGCCAAAGCAATCTTGTGAAAGAAGAACATAGGTGGAGGTGTCACACTCCCTGATACCAAACTATACCACAAAGCTACAGTATCCAAACAGTATGGTACTGGCACAAAATAGACACGTAGAACCAATGGAAAGAACACAGTCCAGAAACAAACCCACACTATATGGTCAGTTAATCTTCAACAAAGGAAGCAAGAACGAACAATGGGGTAAAGACAGTCTCTTCAATAAACGGTGCTGGGAGAACTGGAGAACTACATGCAGAAGAATGAAACTGGACCATTATCTTATACCATATACAAAAATAAACTCAAAATGGATTAAAGACTTAAATGTAAAATCAGAAACTATGAACTCCTAGAAGAAAACATAGGCCATAAGCTCTTTGACACTGGCCTTAGGAAATTTTTTTGGATCTGACTCCTCAGGCAAGGGGAAAAAAAGCAAAAATAAACAAATGGGACTAAAAAGCTTTTGCACAGCAAAGGAGACCATTAACAAAATGAAAAGTTAACCTACTGAATGGGAGAAGATATTTGCAAATGACATATCGGATAAGGGGTTAATACCCAAAATATATAAAGAACTCATACAAATCAATATTAAAACATAACAAAACAAAACAAAATCAAATTAAAAGATGGGCAGAGGACCTGAATAGACATTTCTCCAAAGAAGACATACAGATGGCCAACAGGCACATGAAAAGATGTTCAACATCACTAATCATCAGAGAAATGCAAACCAAAACCACAATGAGGCATCACTTCACAACAGTCAGAATGTCTAATATCAAGACAAGAAATAGCAAATGTTGGTGAGGATGTGGAGAAAAGAGAACCCTTATGCACTGCTCGTGGGAATGCAAATTGGTACAGCCACTAAGGAAAACTGTATGGAGGTGTATGGAGGTTCCTCAAAAAATTACAAATGGAGCTACCATACAATCCAGCTATTCCACTTTTGGGTATTTATCCCCCCCAAAAATGAAAATACTAATTCCAAAAGATACATGCACCCCTGTTTATTGCATTATTTATGATAGCGAAGACATAGAAGCAATCAAAGTGTCTGCTGATAGACAAAGATGTGTGTGTGTTTATGTATATGTGTATATATAAATACATGCACATATACATATGTAAAATGGAATATTATTCAGCCATGAAAATAAAATAAAATCTTACCACTTGGGACAACATGGATGGACCTATAGGGTATTATACTAAATGAAGTACGTCAGACAGAGAAAGGCAAATACCATAAGATCTAGAAAACAAAACAAATGAACAAACAAAACAAAACATAAACAGACTCATAGATACAGAGAATAATCTGGTGGTAGCCAGAGGGAAGGAGCAGGGGGTAAGGGTGAGATAGATTAAGGAATTAAAGGGTAAAAAATACAGTAAGTCAAAGGGCTGCAATGTACCACATAGGGAATATGATCAATAAAATACCATATGTATGCTGACAGTTGGTAGCTAGACTTATCATGGAAATCACTTTGTAATGTATATAAATGTCAAATCACTGTTGTACACATGAAACTAATATAATATTGTTAACACTTCAATAAAAAAAAATGCAGTTGCAAACTGGACTGTATTGACAGAAAGGCAATTTAGTGGCTTAAAAAATATGTGTGTGAGTCCTTGAACAAGAATAAATAGGCTTTGTTAATTAAATAAATAAATAAAATAGAAACCACCATTTTGCCACCTCCAATCAAATCACGGATTCAGGCAAGGATGGATGCAAAAATCATTAGGTGAAAAGCTGATGAAGAAAAAAAGTCTTCATATGGTGCAAAAAGTGACCCAAAGATTACGGCCAAATTAAAACGGTAAAAACACACTCTGGCTGTCACCCTCATAACCAAAGGTGAGACTCAGCACCTTCCTGGTGGGACAGCCCAACATCCTAGTGCCCTTCTCTTTGTGTGACATGCCATGTGCATGGGACCTTCTGTGAAGCAATCCTGCAAGAAGGTTTCCCCTGGGCCAGCCTCTAGACCTAGCTTCCAGTTTCCAAAGAATCCGAGGGCCAGACTCAGATGAACAACTGAGACGCCACGGCAAGGAAATAATCTGACAGATAGACTAATGGACAAGACAATTGGCCCAGTGTCTTAAAAAAAAAGCCAGTATCACTGGGAATGAAGGTGGGGGGAGGCTATTGTTGAACAGAAAGATTAAGGAAACAATTATAAAATGCAATGTGTTTGAAAAAAAGCAACTACAAAGACATGTTGGGATAAAGGGGAAAAATCTGAGTATCAACTATACTCATGATGGACTGGACACATTAGGTAAGTACTGTTAATTTTCTTAGGTGTGCAAATTGCCTTCTTAGGAAAGGAATGCCAAAATAATGAGGCAGGGTGTCATGACATCTGCCACTCTGAAATGGTGTAGCAGCAAACAGAAACGTAGTTACAGCAATGTCTGCTGAATCTAGGTTATGGGTATATGGGTGTTAAGTTATTAGGCTTTCAAATTTTCTGTATGTCAAAATTTTTTTTATAATTAAAATTTAAAAATCAAAAGTTCACTAGTCATGCCAATATGACTGTTCTGGTCCATATAAGTTATATATTTCACCATAATTTAATAAACTGGCATTCTGACTTTATACATTTTAAAAAATATTCTCTTCATTAGTTTCAAGCCTATGTCTAAGTAAGCCTATGTCTAAGGAACCTTACAAATTTAAAATTCTGAATTTTTTGTAATTTCAATTGCCTTTATTTCTCCACCTAGTTTTCATTAAACCAAAATCTAAAAATGACATAAATGGTAATGGTTGCAGTTTGAAGTAGAACTCATAAAATTTGCTAAATAATGGTTAAAATTTAACATGTCTATTTTAGAGTAATAGTTCTCAAAAACTTTTCAAAATATAAGATGTTTCCTTGCCCATTTCCTTTTAAGAAACACTTGGTCAGCATCCACAAAAAAGATGACATAAGAAAATGAGTAATAAAACATTATGATGTAAGTAGGGTTCAAGCAGTTTAAGCTAGGATGTCTGGGGTTACCCTTAATCTTTCAAGGTCGGTGCAAAATAGAAACCATGTTCTCTGATGAAGTTTCTCTGATGAAATGTCTTTGACACCTCAGTCAAATAAATAATGGGCTGAATAAACCAGTAGTCTAAATCAGAATAAAAATGCTTATGTTCTTATGATAACACTGGTGTAGTCTTACTCCCATAGCTATCCTTTCTGAGACATCCAAAAATATTTTAAAAGCCAGTTATCTTAAAGTCAGTTACATAAAATGCATAATTTTATGGTATGATTTACTAGGATAGTACAGTATGATTATGTCTCTGATTACACGATCACTCAGACCTTACTGAAATCTGCTGTGCTGCATAAATCTGCCCCTATTGGTAGTTTTAAAATCAGTAGCTGACTACATTCTAGAAAGAAACACTTTCTTTTTCTTGTTATTCCGTATTTACCTGAGATCATATCACTGGGAAACTCCAACGTCCTCCAAGCACTGGATAATAAATTGACAAATGTCCCCCAGATCCCTTTACCTCTCTGTGCTGTATTTCCTCTGTTTCGTCAATTCCTGGTAATTTTAGTCCTTGTTCCTTTTCTTGGACCTCTTCTTCAGCATCACCACTAAGTTTCCTAGGATGAGGTAAGAAAAAATGTCAATTGCATTATTCCGAAAGTACCCAACATAAGAGTAATTTTAATGTCTGATTCATATATTCTGTAAGAAACTGAAATGATTTAAATATTAAGCCATAAAGTGGGAAGTCATGAAAATAAATACAGTTACTTGTATATGTTGTGTATTTCATGTGAGCTGTATTCTTTATATTCACATTAATCTTCAGTTGTCTAAAATAAACAATATTCTTTCAGGACTATTTTCCCCAACTTGTATTATGACAATGATCAATCATAAAGTTGAAAGACTGGACAGCGAACACCCCAATACCCATTCACTTAGCTCCTACATGTTGCTATCCTTGCTTTATTCATCTATTTATTCCTCTTTCCATCCATTTCAATTTTGTTTTCATACATTTCAAAGAAAGCTGCAGACATTGGTATACTTCATCCTCAAATACTTTAGCATGCATATCATTAACTAGATTCAATATTTGTTTACAGTTCTTTTCCCCTTTTTTTGAGGCAGAATTTACATACAATGACATGTACAAATCTTAAGGATATCTTCTGATTGGTTGGTTTGGACAGGTACGGACTCCTCTGTAACCAAAACTACAACCAAAACGCAGATCACCATCAGCCCAGAAAGTTCCTTCAGGCCTCTTCCAAGTCAACCTCTATCCCCATCCAGAGGCAAAGACTGTTCTGACCTTTTTCCATCACAGTCTGTTCCAAGATTTCATATAAACGGAATCAAACAAAGTGTACCCTTTGTATAAGGCATTTCAGTGTGTTTTTGAGAATCATCCATGTTGCTGCATGTACTACTAGTTTGTTCCTTTTTATTTCTGAGAATTGTCCCAGCATATGAACACACCGCAATATTCCAGCCCAGTTTCCTACTGATAAACACGTAGGCTGTTCCCAGTTTTGGGCTATTATGAATAAAGCTGCTCTGAACATTCTTGTACAAAAAGAAAAAAGTGACGAAATGATTACTGCTCCAAAGGACAACTGTACTCCCCTGACATTATTTTGCATTAGTTTTTGCAGTTACTTCTTCAGGAGGTACTGATAATGTAGTTGTAAGGCAACTTCCTGGGGCATCATTTAAATAGATGGGTACGAGGGATCCTGTCCTGGAAGAAATTAAATTGCTAATATGCATTTTGAAACTCTGCAGACTGGAGAGATGAAAATAATCCCTATTATTTGTTCACTCACTGCTTTTCTTTCCCATTTGGCTGGTGTTCACAAGTCTATGTTGGTATCTATTTTTTTCCAGGGAGGCTGGGTCCAAGTTACATAGATTCTAGTGGACTAAATATTTGTGAAATTAATTTTGCCAATTCCTCTGACTTTTTAAGAATCCTCTCACACCTTCCAAAGTCTTTGCTTCTGCCTGCACACCTGCACACTGTCCCACCTGCCCCAGCCCAGCCCAGGCTGGGCTGCCCTAATCCCAGGACTGTGCCACGGTCCTGGCACCTTTGTGCTGTTCTTCCTCGGTTCTAGCTTTTGTTCTTCCATATGGAGCGCAGAGGACTCTCCACCCTGAGGCTGGCTATCTAAGCACTCCGACACCTTTGCAACACTGGAAAAAGCTAACATGTATCTTTGGCCACTTAATCACATTTCTTTAGCTATAAAAATGTTAATGTATTTCAAGCCATTTTACTAAAACAATAACTACTCAGGAAATGTTTTTACAAAAGCTTTTAAATCCAGAGCTGAAGAATCAATATTAAAAGTTGGACTTATTCCTGTACTTTTAATCTTCTAAATGGTCACCCCTTTTCCAGAACACCCTATTTCAGTGATGAGCATCAGAGTCCACCCAGAGCCACATGTCACCTCTTCCGCCTCTGCTCTCCCTACTCTCATACCTGAGCCAACATCAAATCTCATCAACGTTACTTCTGAACGCCACTCAGATCCATCCACTGATCTCCACATCTCTTGCCACAATCCTAGCTATTTTAAGACATCTTCCATCTCCAGTTTGTACACCCACCAGTCTCCTAACTAGGCTTAACCAACTTGAAATCTGCAACCAATTGCCTCAGCACTGCTGGCCCTCCCCAACCTCCTTCTATACCAAACTTCCTTTCTGCCTAAACCATACTGGCCCTTCAAATTCTTGAAACCCTCCAGCCCTTGATTTAGGAAACCAGACATTGCTTAGGCGTATCTTTCTCAGAGCATTCTTTTGATTAACTCCCAAACTAAGAAGCCAGATCTCCCACTATTGCCCCTCAACCCCAGGATTTGTTTGTTGAGCTCAACATTAATTGCTTTAAAAGCATAGTTTATCTTTTTCTTATGGCACGTATCACAATTTTAATTCTGTGATTATCTTATTTCAGTAGAGGTTCTATGAACCAGGAAGCAAATCTGATTTATTCTTTACTACAGTGTGCCTGGCACAAAAGCTGATTTCCCAGACTCCCCTCCACACTCCGTACTTCCTTAAACTGAAGGCTTTCGTAACATGTACTTGGAACTTTGGCTTTTCAGTAAGAAAATGTATTTACTTCTTTCAGGAGTCTTATGCCATAGAACCTACTAAATGATAAACGGGAAAAAAAGAAATCCCAATCTGGGAAAAATTACAGTATTTCCAGAAACTCGCCTGGCTTTAGGGCATCCCCATATCAGCAGGTGTTTCCAAGGGACAGAGAGAACTAGTCCACCTCCGTACCAATAGGTGGTTACAGGCGGGGAGGGAGGGCATATCCGGACTGGAGAGGTTGCGTGGGACCCCTTTTTGCAGCCGGGTCATGAGAGTCATGAGTGAGCAGAAGTGGATGACTGTTGTAAGCAGTAAACTGGACGACTGTTGTAAGCAATAAACGGATTTCTCCCACTTTATTTCTCCCTTTGACTTATTTTGGTTTCAAAGGTAATTTACCCTGGGCTGGAAACTTATTTTTCCACACATGGTAGTAGTCGGCATGACCTCTGAACCCAAAATCTGTCTTCATGGGTGCGTCCCGTGGGTGGGCTGCTCCTGTAGATGGTGGGGAGGCCCCAGTGGCTGCTGCAGTGGGGGTGACAACTCATCTTTACCCCTGGCAGCAGCAGAGGGTGCAGCTTTACCCAGGAACCCTCTTTCCATGGGGCTTCCTCTTGGGAGGCTCCCTAGTGGGGGACTGGTCTAGGGTAAAGCACCTCCTAGAGGGCTGGGGCCTTTCCCAGAGTTGGGGAAGGGTGGAGACACTGGAAGCTGTGGAATTAGCCCGCTGCGAGACAGAAGACTGCTTAGAGGCTCTGAGTGGCCATGTAGCAGCTGGGATTATGGGGTGTTTATTTCTTGAAACAGTGGAAAGGGTTATTGAGGAGAGAGAGACACTTCGGCGTTGCTTGGAGGAGCTGGACGATGACCTGTGGAATGCCCTTAAGAAAGAGAGACAGTTATGCAGAAGACAGGTCACTCCTGGAAGATATGTTATCGAGCTAGGAGACATCGGGAGAATCTGCATTCCACAGGAGACTGCGGGAGGGGGAGGAAAAGCAGCGCCTTCAGCCCCGGGGATGGTAGAGATGTCGGGAGAGGATGAGAGGGTCCCGCTGAGGGCTGACCTGTTGCCGAGGACACCGCCCGAGGCATCAACCTCTCCCATATTAAAGATCTGCCCATTTGTAATTAAGAAAATAAAAATGCAACAACCTTGGGCCCCTCAGGGGAAGCAGCAGCCCCATCTCCAGGTTGGGGAGCACTCCATGCTCCACCCCATACCTAGAATGAGCTGGTGGACATGAGCATCTGGTTTTGGCCAAAGCCATCAGAACCTCTGCGTACGTGACTTTTGTGTCTCTGGGATATGGGGGTGGAAAACATTATGTCAGGTTCTGAAATGGGTACACTGGCTTCCCTGACGACTCACCCTTCCCTCCGGCAGCGGCTGCAAAGTGCCCATCACCTCAGGGAATCAGGCGCTTCTGGATTGGCTGACAGCAGCCAGCGGCAGTTTGGCCTAATCAGGGTGATTTACCATACTTATGCAGAGCTCCAGCAGGTGTTACTGGGAGGTGGGCATAAAAAATACCATCTATAATATGGACCCCCAGGGCCCCAATGAGTTGTTCACTGTAGGAATGAGAATTCTGGTGCCCCATACAGCTCTCTCATCTCTCTTTGGGTCCCTAGTGACTAACTATTCTTGCCCCGCAACAGAAGGCAACCCATAAGTGAGGCTACTTGTACTTTAGCAGATCTAGGGGAGGTTGAAACAATAAGAGCACGGAAGGAAGTACTGGCTATGACTGAAAGGAGAGGTGCAAAGGGCCCTGTGAAGACCTTGAGGGCCCAAATGTGAGTTGATTTGATAAAGGTCAGGGTGGTGAAAGAAAAACTTGATGAGAAGCCCAATAGGATCTTGTTAGAACTGTGGCACCAATTAAAGCCAGAGCAGCAGTTCCAGCTGCTTAACTCCAGGACACAGAAGCCAGAGGCAAAGCCCCATGTCCTGCCTCTGTGCCTGCAAGACCTCCTGGGGGACAGTACTCAGGCTCCACCTGCGCCTCTCCCTCCACAGGAGGATGATGGGGGTTGTGGTTTGACTGAGGTGGGGGGTCAAGGCCCCCACCTTGGGGGATGTGGTGGGGACCGGAGGCCACATGTGGAATTAGCAAGCCATTGGTCTCCTGTGAATGTACAATGTGTCCTGGTGCTGGTAGACACAGGAGCTGAGTGTTCTCTGATTTAAGGCAACCCTGATCATTTTCCTGGGACTCCTGCTGTGACAAATGGCAATGGGAGTAAGGCAATTAGAGTGAAGAAAGCCCAAATCCCACTGGGGAGAGGGTGTATACCCCCAAAGAATATACTGTATACATTTCTCCCATCCCTGAATATATGTTGGGGGTAGATACCCTGCAGGGCCTGTGGTTACAGATGACTGCAGGTGAGTTCAGACTGAGGGTACATGTGGTAAAGGCAGTTCTGAGGGGACATACTAAGCAGTATAAATTGCCTGGGAGACACAAGGAAACTGGAGAAATTCTACAGGAGTTGGAGAAGGTGGGCACCATAAAGCCCTCTCATAGTCCTTTTAATTTCCCAATGTCACCAGTGAAAAAGCTGGATGGCTACTGGAGTATGACTGTGGATTATGGGGAATTGAATTAAGTCACAGCCCCTCTGCATGCTGCTGTCCCCTCTATAGCAGACATTCTGAACACCCTCAGCCATGAACTGGGAACATATCATTATGTTGTAGACCTTGGCTAATGCTTTCTTCTCTACTGACATAGCACAGGAAAGTCAGGAACAATTTGCCTTCATGTGGGAAGGCCGGCAGTGGACATTCACTGTCCTTCCACAGGATACCTCCACAGTCCCACCATTTGTCATGGACTTGTAGCCCAGGGCCTGCTACGTGGAAGAAACCACAAATGGTGCAACTGTATCACTACATTGATGATATGATGCTCATGCCTGATTCTCTTGCAGATTTAGAAGGGGCAGTTCCTAGACTGCTGCAACATCTACAGGGGAAAGGATGGGCTGTAAATAGCACCAAGGTTCAGGGACTTGGTTTGTTAGTAAAATTCTTGGGGGTTGTCTGGTCAGGTAAAACTAAAGTTATCCCAGAAGCAGTAATAGACAAGGTCCCAACTTTCCCTCTCCCTACCACAGTGGCAGTATTACAAGAGTTTTTGGGTCTTTTGGACTAATGGAGTGTTTATCCCACACTTGGCACAAATTCTGAAGCCCTTATACCAGTTGGTACAAAAGGGCATTAGGTGGGATATCATGAAGCACGTGCAGCTGCTTTTACTGCTGCTAAGCAAGCAGTCAAGGCTGTACAGGCCTTGAGTGTAATGGACTCATCAAGGCCCTGTGCGCTAGATGTTCATGCAACCTTAGATGGTTATGGATGTGGCCTTTGGCAGTGGCTTGAATGGATCTGCCGAACTACTGGATTCTGATCACAACTATGGAAAGGAGCAGAGGTCTGGTACACCCTGATAGAGAAGCAACTGGCTGCTGTGTACCACGCCTTGCTGGCTATGAAGACCATCACTGGAACAGCTCTGGCCAAGATAATAACCACCTATCCCATCGCAGGGTGTATGCGAGCCTGGACCCAAAGGCTATGGAGTGGCATGGCACAGACGCCTACACTGGCCAAATGGGGCACATACTTACAGCAGCACAGTGCCCTGTCTACTAGTCCCTTATGTGGAGAACTCCAACACTGAGGAGTTGACCTTTGAAGAAGTCAGGAGAGCCCGGAATGAGTGCCTTATGTGCTCTAAGATGGACTTACACCGAGTCCCATAGCAACATGGGACAATAGTAAAGGAGCTGATACCCCTTGTCAGGTGGCAGATAGACTATATTGGGCCTCTGCCCACATCAGAAGGGTATTGGCATGCCATGACTTGTGTGGACACAGCTACTGGACTATTGGTTGCTTTTCCTGCACGTTGTGCAGATCAGCAAACCACGAAAAGGGGCCTAGAGCACCTCTTTGCAGCCTATGGCCGGCCGCGGGTAATTGAGAATGATAAAGGCACCCACTTTACTGAACATGCGTTATAAGAATGGGTGCAACAATTAGGGAATAAAGTGCAAATTTCATGTACCATATAACCCTACCAGGACAGGCATGACAGAGAGGTACAATGGTTTGTTGAAATCTGGCTTGAAGTCAGACACCAGTAGTCCATGGGACTGGTCAATTTGTTTACGGACAGTACTATGGTGTTTGAATGAGAAGCTCCGAAAAGGACTCTTGAGCCCTGTGGACATGCTAACACACATTGCCACCTTTCCTATACAACTGTACATGCAAACCAAAGAGGAGTTATTGAAGCCAGGATATGGCCAGCAGAGCAACATCCTGCTGCCAACCCCAAATGCATTAAACCCTGGACACTCTGTTGAGTGGACGTGACCCTGGACATTTTGACACATGGACCAGCGATGGCTGGCCCTTCTGGCTCCTTGGGGAAAAGGCCTGGAAGCTGGCCTCCTGTGTGCTTGTGGAGTAACAGTGGAGTGGCTCCCAAAGATCATGGTAGTGTACCCAAAATGTCTGGAAGGTAAGAGCATCTTATAGGGAAGTTCTATCTTTATGGCCAGTACATGTACCTCCTGTAGCCCTAGATATTAACCCATCTGTAACTCCCACAGGGAGGGGGGTGAAGGTCTGGTATAGTAGCCCACGATGAGATCCCATTCCTGCCACTGTCCTATCACAGGACCACTCTCTTGCACGCATCCTACCTGAGGGATAAGATTTGCCTATGCTGTTGTCATTAAAACATGTATGTCACTGCCCTTAAGGTAACTTTTTCTACCATCCCTGAGGCCTGGATCCGACCCCTGGTTGCGGCTGTTGCGTGGTGATTGCTCTGAACTCCCTAACCTCTCAGCTACAGGCCATCTGTGGAATGGTTGAGCTATGGACTTAAATCTGCACAGGACTCTAAGCCTAGGTGAATCCTCCAGCTTGAGGTTTATCATGATTTTATTGCTGTTATTGTATGTTATTAATCTGGTTACAGTGCTCCAGTTTTCTTGAACTGGGGCCATTGTGGAAGATGGGGATCAAGTAGATTAGGAGGCGAGATTTCTGGAGGGGTGGGCTGCAGGTAAAACAGCAATATTTCCAGGATCTCTTCCCTGGCCTCCGTTCATCTCCATATAACTAGGTGTTTCCAAGGGGTAGACAGAACTAGTCCATCTCCATACCAACAGGTGATTACATGGGGGAACAAGGGCATAACTGGACTGGAGAGGTTAGGTGGGGTTCCTTTTTGCATCCAGGTCGGGAGAAACGGGGGTCAGCAGACGTGGATGACTGCTTGTAAGCAATAAACAAGTTTCTCCCACTTTATTTTTTCCTTCCACTTATTTTGGTTTCAAAGGTAACTTGCCCCAGGCTGGGAAAGTATTTTCCCCCCCAGTTATACCCACAATCACTTGGGAACCTTCTTCAGGACGGGTTCCTCTAGGAACAATGGTGGTCTTTCTAACTGGGGTGCAGAGCCAGGTACTTAAACGCAAGGAGCGCTTCCCAGTCCAGCTGACCGATCACGTGCGTCAGCCACGGCCACGCCTGCGCCGAGAGGACAAACAGCGCGCCTCCGCCAGCAAAGGGGCGTAGGGACGTGCAGCGCGCGGCCTGCGTGAGCGTACGTGCGCCGGTATGGCGCGGGGTTGACCGCGAGGGGGAGGAAGGACCCATGCGGGGTCTAGGTTCTGCGGCTCCCGGATACCTGGGCAGCGGCTTGGGCCCGAAGACACCTTTACAGTCCGGCCGAAACCCGAACCCCGGAGCACGGCCTGTGGGGCCTCCCTGCGCTCAGCACGACCGGGTGGGTGACAATGACGGCCGAGCGTAACGCCGCGTCCTCCAGGCACGTCCCAGCACCACGTCCTCCCGCCGCAGGTTCCCTCACCCGCTCAGCGTCCCTTGCCTTTAGCCTTACCTGTGCCTGGCCGGCGATCGGTAGGCGGCGGTAAACGGGCTCCGCGCCGAGACCCCTTCGCTCTCCGTAGTGGGCGGGGCGTCTTCCGACGCGTTTTAAAGGGAAGGTGAGCAGGGGAGGAGCGCCTGTCTGGCGGGATCAAGTCCTCCGACAAAAATGTGAAGCTGATGAGGGAAGGTTCTTAAGGGTCCCGTAAGTTCATGTTTAATAAAGTATTTCATAAATGCCTTTATTATTAATGTGAGTTAGGGAGCCTTGCTCCGTATTTGCAGGGGAGCAAGGGGAAGTGAGTGAAGGTGGTTCCCGAGCGCGGGGTCCCAGGACGAGCAGACGGGGCCGGGCGTGTGACCTCAGGTAGAGCTGCACCTGGAAGGGCCTCGGGCGCACCGCTGATTTTACGGAGGGGACGACGGGCGGTGGTGGCTAGTGGTTTGCCCGGTCAGTAGAGCTGCCCTGACGCATCGGCGGCCGTCCGAGGCCCTCCAGTGTCTCCTGCTCCTGGGATCGCTCCGAGCCGCGAGGCTGCTGTGCGCCCCTCTGGCTCATGGTCATACTAACCTGCTTCTCGCCTCTTAGTAGGAAGTTGCTCAATGACAGACAATCTGCAATAGTGACTCAGCGAAGCCACCTAATTAGACAATTCGTACAAGAGGAAACTACACTTACTCGATACTTTAGTCCCCCGGAACAGATTGCTTTATTTATTCTCATTAAATACTGCTTGCATTAGGTATTACCTTTTTTATTACAAATGAGGACCCCAGTTCAGGTTTAAATAGCTCTTGAGAGCAGAGAGCAAGTCTCTGGTTCCTCATCAAATCCACAGCGTCTGAACATTTTTGAGGCACCGATATTTTTCTGAAGTAGAGAACTGGTAAACCCAAAAACAACCGTGTGTGTGACCCAAAGTCCAAGGCTAATTAATTGCCTGTTGGCTATTTACAAGTTAAACGAGAAGAATTAGAGATTCAATTCATTCTACCAAAATTATTCCCTAACAGGAAGATAAAAGTTTGGGATAAATGTGGGGACAGAATGACAAGCACATTACTTGGGAAATGGTAGGTACCCAATAATTGTAAATGTGCACGTTAGCACTTACCTGTGTGTCAGCTAGGCAGGTTCTAAACGCTTTACTTCTGTCAAGTCATTTCATCCTTAGGACAACCTTATCCCATTTCACAGATACAGGAGCTGAAGCATTGAGTAATTTGCCCAAGGTCAGGCAACTAACAGCAGTACCACGAATAGAAAAACCCAGGCAGCCTGGTGCTCTTAATACTCGCTAAATATTCCTTCAGCTACTAGACTAAAGTACAGTTGATCCTTGGACGTGTGAGGGTTAGGGGTGCAGACATTCCACCTCCCCACCATGCAGTCGAAAATCTGTGTGTAACTCTTGACTCCCCCAGAACATAACTACTGATAGCCTACTGTTGGTTTTATGGCAGTAAATGATAAATTAGACTGCAGTGTACATATATTTTATGTATTCATGGCATATCTTTTTATTAATTTTCTCCAAACTCCTAGGCTATGTGGTTCGCTGTTTTTTCAAATTGTCCCAGATCTCCAAAAGTTTTTCCAATATATTTATTGAAAAAAATCCATGTATAAGTGAACCCATGCAGTCACACCCATGTCATTCAAAGGTCAATTATACTGAGTGAAGCAGTGGTTACAGGTCTGTGAAGATATTAAGCAATATGTGTAAAATTGAAGCCTTTAATACCCAGCCTAAGGAGTTGAAATTTGGTAAGATTATGATTGAATCAATTCACACCAAGTAACCATTGGCGACTGAAGATACCTGTCAGCATCCCATCCCTTTGTGGCCCTTCTTTAAATGCATATATATCTGGAGTAGATGATTCGGGAAGTTCTCTAGGCTGCCATGGTTAGATATTTCAACAGAAAGGAGATGCATGAGTGTTCCTGGAAGGAGGTGAGCAGAGAATCATGGGTGTTACAGACACGCCCTCAGAGAGAGAACGGTTTTTTTCATTTCTTCTCTTGAACTCTTCTTTGACCTCCAGCTGAAATGGGATGTAGCAGCTTATAGAGCCATTGAGATCCCTGGGCTCAGCGCCCTCAGTGGCAGATTTGAAAACCCTTGAATAGAGAGCAAAGCAAGTAACTGGCCCTTCTAGAATCCCTTCCTGTATTATGGCTTCTACTTGCTAAGGCACACTTCCTAGTTTGGAGAAGTAGTATTAATATGCCACTAAACCTCTGTAAACTGATATGGGCATAGAATGGGGACTCAGAAGTATATAGAGCTTTACCAGTTGCTATTGTTTCTATCCATAATTTACCAAAAAAAACCCCAAAAACCCAAACCAAAAAATATGGAAGCGTAACTCAATAAGACTCAAATCCTTGTGCCTAAAACACCTCCATTTTCCACTACAGAGCCATTTCCATGACTTGTCAGTTTCCTGAATGACAGTCTCTCACACAACGCATCAGTTGGCATTTTGTTCTGATGAAGGGTGAAAGGAAATACCTGTCCCTCCTTGCCTGTTGGCTTCCAAAGTCCCCTCTGTCCCCACTGGTATTGAGGGAACCTTCAAACAGATAGGCACAGGAGACATAGTCACTTAGCCTGAGGTGACCGAGGTTCAATACACCTGTTCCACAAAGTAATTATTCTATGGATGATATCTTTAAAAAGTTATTAATAGCAGGCGGTGTCTTCAATAACTTGCAAACTTGTCAAAAGGGACTTCGAAAGCAAGGTGTGCAAGCAGCATTGGCTGAGTGTGAGATAACTCATCAAAAACCTGCAGAAGATACACTCAGCCCAACACCACGCATCTGTTATCATAACAGGGAAGCTGGAAGCCTTCATATGGAATCTGTACCATTCATCCTCAGGCAGAACTGTGATTTATTCATTCCAAACATGTAAACATCCATATGTTTAAAAATGAAAAAACTCCAGGCAAGGGGATTTAGCCCTCCATCAGTAGCTCAGTTCAATGTTTGGAAGACTGAGGGCATCTTTTCCTTTAAGTAACCTAAATCCATCATGTGCTTACCTCTGCCAGTTCCCCAGAGGAGCTGAACATCTGGTGACCACATGTGTGTTAAAAGCTTTCACGTACTCTCAAACTACTATCAGATTCAGAATAAATTTCTCATGTGTAAAATTTCCCATGAGACTCCAGATTAATAATTTCTCTTGTCAAAAAATGATGCCACCAATTATTAAAACATGATGGTAGTTGTGAATGAACAAAGTGAATTTGTCTAAAATGACATACCATATGGAATTTTTGAAAAGCTTTCATGTCTGCTAAATGAAAGAGTATTTATATGTGGAAGGTCCATTTATCTACAGTGGAAAGTCTCTTGTGCAACTGGAGGAAGCAGAAAATAGGTTCAAAAGTCTCCTTTGAGAAACAGCAGCTTCCATTTCAAAGGTATTGAGTTTTGGGGTGATTCAGTTAACTCTGGTTATTTTGAAACAAAATAATTCCCATTTCCATCATAGGGCATCATGCAAAAATAAAAAGCTGGTACGGAAAACCTTAAAAAATGTACAATGCCTACTACTATTGACTTGGTAATATTTACCAAGTTGTTAGCATTTTATATTTTAAATAAAGCCCAATTATGTTTTTAAACATCCACACGACCTCTTCTAGTTTGAAGGCTGTTTAAGGGAGGCTGGACTGACAGTACATATAATGTCAGTGATAAAACAAATTTGTACTCTCAGCTTCTCATCTTTGAGGGAACTGGAATTAAGGCAAATTAGTCCAATTTGGAAAGTTCGTCAGATGAGGAGTTTTACATGTTTACTGTATAGTGAGGACTTTCTACTATATGTTCCAGCCATTGTTTGGCTGTTTCCCCCCCCCCCCCCCCCCCCCCCCCCAAAGTTGCTAGGTTCCCCTGCAAAGAGTTTCAAGCCTGTTTTGTTGGCAGCTTGGGATGTGTGGTGACCTTACCAGAGTGGAAGGGAAAGCTCTCGGTTTTTCTTCTCTTTTTTTTTTCCTTTTTTTTGGCAACAGTAAATCTACTAATTTTACAGTCAGCTGAACAGCAATAGATTAATTTGTGCAAAGTCTGCATTCACAAAGCAAACCTGAACTTCAGTGGCTTGAATGCCTGAAACTGTAGCGTGATCGCTGAAGGGTAGACACTCTTACAACTAGCTCTAGAAGGATGCGGGCCGTCCACTGTCACCTGCTTCTCTGCACAGGTGCTGACCCCTCGGTCGATTTGAGGCCTCCTGACGGGGTAGCAGGAAGGCTGGGCCTTTGTGTGCTACAGAGAACGCTTTTCCAAGGCTTGGGCCAGTTTTCTCCAGCAGCCACAGGAAGCAGAAGAAAGAAAAGGTTAAGGGCCACTACAAGGGTCAGATTGGGTTAAATTTCGTTAACATCAGAGGTTATAGCTTTTAACAAGAGCTTCAAGAAAACTTATTCGAAGATGCAATTTGTTTCTTCTTTGTCAACTGCTATTGTTTTCTTTCTTGCCCTATTGATAGTGACAGTTTAACAAAGTTTTTATATGCTAGAGGTTTTCGTCCTTTAGAGAATAAAGGACTGTGCTCCTAAAAAGAGACGCAGGTGGAAGACTTTATAAAGCTTCCATGATTTTCAAATTGGGAGCTTTAAAATAGACTCCCTGCTTGGCTAAGTCAAAAAATAATCTGTGAGGGATGTTGAAAAAAAAAGTCCCCATTAGAAATGGAGGAATGCTTCAGTGGTCAGATGCAGAGGCTCAAATTTCTGGAAGCTTCTTTGTGCATATTTTACTTTCAGCTATCCTGGTATGGTTTTCCTTGTTGTTACTCAAAATTGCCAGAGAAGCCTCTTCTTAAGTTTCCGTGTGTGTATTTCTTTAAATTCAGAGTAGAACTAGTTTATTGTATTTCTATGTAGGCATAAAAAAAGGTGGCTACAGGTTTCTGCTCTTCAGTTACGCTCTTATCATTCTGTTACTCTCACATTTTGTGTTCAAGGACTGAAGTGTTACTGGAAATTGGCCTTTCAAAAGAGAGTCCTGTAAACTCTAGCTTTTCAGTTGGAAACTCACACCTTTCAATAGGTATGATTCCTTATAACTCATGGTGAGTGTTTTGCATCATCCAAAGTCTTGCATAGTCTTTAGCTGCATTTCTATAATAAACAAGAGACTTGACTTTTTTGGAATGAGTCTTATGTGAGGTTTTAGAGTGCAGAACTTAGGTTTCCGGAGTCACGTTTTCTATCCGATGGTCAGCAGGGTAAACATCATCCACCCAACTAAGTGCTGGACAATAATATGCATTTGGCCACGTTTGTTTCAGGTACGGTGAGGACTCAATATGTTATTCAGCAGGCAAGATGTTTTGTAAAGAGAATCTTCCAGATACCTAAGCTTACCTCTCAAGTGAACACTAAGTTTCTTACCATTTGGAGTAAAATTATTTTATATAATGTATTACAACTTTTATTGTTTTCTGAAATATGATATAATGAATATTCTTTTATGGAATAGGAGTGTCATGTTATCTTATGGTGGCATATAATATAGCATCCCTGTATTAATAGCATCCCTGTATTAAATGCCACAATAACATGTGGTCCAAACTGTCATGGTCTTTATTTATTTATTTATTTATGTATG